GGCGCTTTCCTGGTTAAATGGTTAAATGGTTAAGTGAATAAAAATGCCAACATGTTCTGAAAATCACTGAATTCTTCCATTAGTTTTATCACTTTATATTCCAGATTTCCAAATATTCCAATTCTCCCGCATGTATTTAAAAAAGTTTGAAAATTCCTAGGATGACATCTGCTATTTCAGGTCAGGTTAGGACAGACTGTGAGATCTGGGCAGAGCATGTTAACAGATAGTCTTTTGTGTTGTGAAAAGTATCGAAAAGCAGATATGAATTGATGCTAAAACTATTATCGAAACTACAGTATGTTTGAGCGGGAATAAATACTAAAAAAAGTCGAACTGACAGAGCAGAAATGAACCTTTCTTGAATGATGTTGAGCTGTATCAGAACAAGTATAAGAGCACATAGACTAATATACGATCATGGACACTATGAACCCACTGGACCACTGAGGATTACACATATATAACACACATGGGAATAAAACAGAAAGTACTCTGATTTAATGTTGAAAATCACTTTCTACTGGGAGAATCCTCCTAATTCTGGGAGGAGCTACAGGGGGCTCTGTTCCCGCACTTTATCCACCAGGCTGTTAGGATGCTGAACTCTCCCCTCTCTATAACCAGCAGGCTGCCAGGAAGCTGGAATCTGCATCTCCCTGAGAACAGAACTCCCCAAAGAACACTTGGACTCAGACCCCCCTTGACTCCCCCAAAAAAGACTGTTTTGCACTTTTGCACTATTTACAGTTATTATTTATTTTATGCATGGGAGTGAGAAAGACAATTTTAATTCTTTATATGTTTTTCGTATGAAGAACTGACAATAAACTTTTTTTAGAACTTTGAACTTCTGAGTCCTTAGTATGGGAATTGAGCTTGACTTTTTTGTATTGTGACAACAGTAATACTGATTAGTATTTAAATGCTTTAAAGCAGCTCTGCTTGTACAAGTCTCTTCATGGCCGAGCACCAAAGTCCACTCTGACATGTTAGTGCCATATGAACCATCTCGCACTCTGAGGAGCTCAGGGACCGGCCTCCTGCTGGTGCCCAGAGTCACGACTAAACACAAAGAGTCAGAGTTTCAGGTTCATGCAGCTAAAATCAGGAACTGTCTGAACATGTGAGACAGACTCTTCTGTGACGCTGTTTAAATCCAGGCTCAAAACATTTCTGTTTCACTGTGCATATGACTGAAAGGTTTTCATTTCGCACTCTTCTCTCCAATTTATGTAATTAATGTCTCTCTCTCTTTTTTAATTTTAATCTTGAATTTTATGATGATTATTTATGTTTTTATTTGTTTTTATTGTGATTTTAACATATTTCTTATTCTGTAAAGCACTTTGAATTACTTTGTGTACGAATTGTGCTATACAGATAAACTTGCCTTATCACTTCTCTTAAAGGCCTCATATGACACTATTTTCTGATCTCTGTTATAATGTAGTTTCCTCGTCACAAACAGACCTGGAGTTGTATTTTGTTTCATTCACGCGTGTTTAACACACAAACCCTGCACATTTAGACTGAGTTCTCTCAAACAGAAAACACTGTTCCACCTTGTGACATCATGTGGTAATACAGGAAGTGCTCCAATGTGTTTTAAAACTCCATACACCTTCACTGGAATCATTTGGATGATTTCAACCCTGGAATTGCCGATCTCTACTGAACTAAAGGTAAAAGGAGCTGTTCACTTGAAAACTACCACTACATGACATCACACGGTGGGACAGAGCATTTTGAGCTTTAGAGATGCAGACAGACTAATAAGGCAGGACTACTCAATATGTGTGAATGAAACAAAACATAATTCCAGGTCTGTTTTTGATTAAGTTTTAACACTAAAACACAACTTAAAGCTCTTTAATATTTAAAGGGCCCATCTCATGTAAAATCAACTTTTCAGAGCTTTCTACCTTCTAAGAGTGATGTGTGGGCCTTGTATCTGTCGCTGAAGTGGTTTTTAAATTGATTCTGTGTTTTTTTTTAACAAATTGCAGTGTATTTCTGCCACCCTCCCACGTGACAACGAACTAAAGCTGCTACAACGATGACGCGGCAGATACACCTATGACACGTTTGATGTAACTGAATGCGCTTCGCACCTGCCTCCACCCCACCTCCACCGCCTCCGCATGACAATTCCCACATGAACACCTAAACAAAAGTGACAGCATAAGCTCATTGTTCTCCACTGCAGTGAACACGATATAATAAGATTATCTACTAGTGTTTATTAATACTTTACCAATCAGTAATGTTCACTTAATGTGGACGCGGCGCTTGAGCTTCGTGCACCTCAAAGTCCTCGTCCGATTCTGGGTCCAACACATGTGGCTGAACGAGCTGTATCTCCATGATGAATAAAAGTTTATTCCTACCACTATCAGGGTGCACGCCTGTCTCCCCCTCCCTCCCTGAGATGGCGGAGGAAGAGCGGCTCACTCGTTGCCTACGTCACGTTTGGAGGGCGGAGCCTGTGCTTTCTCAGGACGGGCGAGGGGATGAGCAATAGTCAGACTTTCATAGTTCCTGGTCTGTGACTGTCTCCAAGAAATCAGTAAGATTTCAGCACTATTGTGTAATGGATGTTCCAAAACCCAAATTGTGCTTGTTTATGTGCAGAAGATACAAAGCTAAAAGTAATATTGTTTAAAGGGCCCATCTCATACAAAATAACTCTTTTCACAGACCCCCATTAAATTTTATTGGCCTATAGGAGGTTCTGATGTCATCTGAAACCCACCAATTGATCGATCACAATTTTATTTTGTCTATAAACATGGTTTTCAATATTATTTTCCTGACCTTTAAAGATATAATATGTAACTTTCTGAAGGTGGAACATCACCTGCAGGATTCCATGGAAGTTAAAACTATACTTCAGAACATTCTCCACAGAGATATATTCATGCCATACTGTGGAAGATTATAAAAAAGCAACAAGCAGCAACATCTCCATGGAAACAAGCAAGTGAAGGCCCTCCCCCAGGCCAAATAAGAGCCAGGTTTGTGGAGATGCAAGCCCGCTCAGAGTATCTAGGATCCTGCATGCAAGAGCACTCTGAAATCAAATGAAATGAACAAAATCAAATCAAATGAAAACCAAAGACCCACCATCACTGCAATATTTTGAAGAAACACAACATAATAGGCTGGGACAACAAACAAAACAAACAAATCTGCAGACTCTATTCTTGTGTACAAATGTTTACATGGTCTGGTCCCTGTCCCACTACAAGAATTTGTAAAAAAAAAAATCAGAACAGATCAACAAGAGCAGCTCCAACGGTGACTGTGTAATACTATCAAGGAAAAGTGTCTTTTGGTCAGAAATTGTGCTTATGTGCAGAAGATACAATGTGAAAAGAGTGATTTTATATGAGATGGACCCTTTAATCTTTGGACAGTATTTCCCTCCAGTTTACTGAATTCAATTTGCTGTGGCTGCTCAAAGAATCTATTGTCCTATTATCTAGTTGTCATGTCAGATATGATGTGCAGTGTCTTGCCCAAGGGTAAAACAACAGGTTTATGAAGAAGACCCTGTGGTTAATAGGTAATAATAATATGAATGAGCCTTTATGAGATTCCAATAGAAAGTCCCAATATATGCAGCCCTGTAAAGATGTAATATTCCATGCATTATTCAGGCCTTTAATCTCCCTCAGCACATTTTCTCTTCTATAACGTTTTCTCTTCTATAATGTCATGTAAATATATGAAGATAAGTTTAAGTCCATGTGACAGGTTTTTCTACTTATTAATTCCTTTGGTGGTGTAGTACTTGCTTTGTTGACCTTGCTGTATATTGAGATGTTTGTGATGAAATTAAAAATAGTTCTAAAACACAATCTCTCTGTGTTATGGATACACAAAATTGCTGTTTAATGCAGATTCATTTGTCACCATCAAAGGTTCATGTTATGCAAAATAGATTCTTGTGAGCTTTAATCCATGTTATAATGTTACCTCCCCAAAAACATACCTGCAGTTGTGTTCTAGTAAGCCTTTATTATTACTCTGCCCACATCTTCAAAGCAGAGGACAAATTCTGTAGATAACGTGGATGAAATGCTGCACTTTAACTTTAAAGACATATTTTTGCTATTTTCTTTATGTTTGTACGCTGTCAGCAGTATCATGTGCTTCATAGAGACCTGGCTTCATACTAACTTCCTGGACAACAGTGCATCTGTATCAGGCTTTAAGACTGTACGTGCAGACTGAGAAGAAGGGCGGCAGGATTGCTGTTTTGGTGAACTAGAGGTGGTGTAATCCTGGCCATATTATTGATGAAGGAGCGCATCTGTTCACCGGACATTGAACTGTTGACTTTGGAAATTTACTTTTGTCCTGTTCATTGGAGTTTACGTCCCTCCGTCAGCAGATACAAAGGATACACACTGTGGTCGCTGGGCTGCTGTCCAAACACCCGGAGGCTCCAATACTGATTTCTGGTGACTTCAACCATGCTTTTCCAAATAATTTCCCTTGTAGATCAATAAAGTTTGTCAAAGTCCAAGTCTAAGAGTTTGTGTCTTGCACCTCTGTGTCCGTCATTTCTCTACTCCTGATTCTCTGTTTTATTGGCTGTTATTGTAGCGCTGCTGATGGTGGTGGTTATGATCTGACAGAGTCACACACACACACATACACAAACACACACACACACACACACACACATACACACACACACACATACACAAACACGAGGAGCGCAGCGGCTTCAAAATCGCACATGAAGACACAAAGACGGGTCACGCCTCCTTGAACTCAGGGAGAAGCAAATCGCAGGATAAATCGGACAAATTCTCCTGTAGTGAGTGTTGACCTTAAATCGGCAGCATTTTTGCATTTAACACGTGAATGAAACAAAACACAACTCCAGGTGTGTTTGTGATGAGGAAACTACATCATAACAAATTAGAAAATAGTGTAATATGGGCCTTTAATGATACTATGAAGTAATTGGAATGAAAAGTACTTACTGGGAGAGTGCATGTTGAGAGACACTATGAAGCGCACTATAGCCAAGATGACCAAGTTCATAATGCTCGCTACGCCAAAGAGGAACCCGGCCATGGCGTAGTACACGCAGGTGGCGTGCCCTCCCAGCCAGTGGTGACTCCAGGCCGACGCCACGGCTAACGGGTACATGGTGATGGCTGCTCCTAGATCTGTCACCGCTAAATTCACACTTAGCAACTCCGGCGGCTTCATTTTAGAAGATCGTTTGAACGCCATGATGAGGACCAGCAGGTTTCCAACAATGGAGAACACGGCTGAAAGAGACAGAAAGAAGCAGAAATAACACATAAGTGCAGCAAACACAATTTTCCAGAGAGACACATTTAAATTCAAATCCATGCATGTTGTTTACAGTACAGCGCTGTTACAGAGAGTTTAAGAACAACAAATGCTATTCAGGCCGAAATCGCAGCGATTACCAAGTCTGCAAACATCAGCAGGACTGTGCCAGACTCTGTCTGAGAACTTTCTTTCAAGTGTTTTTAGTTAAGAAATACTTTTGCCTCCTGACGCACACACTGAGCTCTTTTTGAAACTTTTTATGTTTAGAGCTCTTTGAGTTTTTAACATCACATCATGGGATTTTAACCAAGAAGTGCAGCATGTGCAGCTCAAAGGACACAAGTAAGAGACTGTTGGATTGTGGGAAATGAGCTGTTTGTTTTTCTCATGTCCATGGAGACTGTGCAAGAGGCCAGCTGAGCCACCTCTGGACATTTGAGATGCTACAGACCTTTTATACCATAAGTGGCAGCAGAAAACCTTCCAGAGGAAATACTTGGGAATGAACTATACTGAAACACCAGAGTGGAGTGAGAGCAAGTCCCAGGGTCTAAACATGGTCGCCCATTCAAGTCAAAGGGTCGAGCTCAGTGTCACATGTCTCCAGATGAGTCTAGCCAGGTGAGGTACTTCTAGTGGCTCCCTGCCCATTGAACATGCTCTGAACATGTAGTGCTCTTTTCTCACATGGGCACATGCAAATGCACGAAAGCGCGCACAAGGAGCACGACCTCATGTATCACATGATCCGCTTTGACCAATCAGCACGAGAAGAACAGAGCGGAGCCGGAGCTAATGATTAAAAAGCTGTTTTTAAGACGACTGAAGGATTTTGAGCTGTGAAAAGGTTTATGATCTAAAAATAGGTAAAAATCACCACAAAATCCAAGCTTTCTGAAAACTGTAGGTCCCTGTCAGCCTCTGTCAGTCCCTGTCAGCCGAACATGAGCAGTTTGTGATGACATTGCGCTCTATTGGAAAAATCCTTTCTGGGCACAAGGGATTTTTTCGCTGAAGTTTCAGTGAGTGACCACTACACCAACTCAAGACAACTACAAACAAACAAAAAACAGCCAGTAATAGTTTGTACTTTACTTTGGCCATCAGTCTGATTGTGGAGGGAAGAACGGCTTAAAGCAAAGTAAGAGGCTTCCATAAATAAAGGGTGGATTTGAGCTTTTGTAGTAACTGTCAGACGTGATGCTGAGCCTTATTCCTGCAGCCGGACAGACAAAAGGACGAGATATCAGCCTCTGAAATCCATACACAATAACATGTCCTCTAGAGATGATCCGAGATCACAGCATTAATTATTGAATGGACAGCTCTCTGTATATCACTCTTTCAATTATTATTTATTTATACGACTCCAAGTTGTTTAATGCACTTATTTCACAGCTCCAAACTGTTATGTCTCACCTGTGAGTCTGAAAAACCTGTTCACTGTCTCTTTCTGTTACTTTTGTGTTTTACAGGAAGCTTTTTTTGTTGTTTTTGATATATATTTTTTTCATTTTTATTGCATATATACAAAGAAATTATTAAACATCCATCCATTTTCTTCCTCTTATCTGGGGCCGGGTCACAGGGGCAGCGCCCAGTCAACCTGCGAAGGAAACTCATTTTTAACATTGTATCCGTGATCTTGTTGAGGTCAGGACCAGAGGTGAGGAGACGAACGTAGACTGACGGTAAATCGAAAGCTTTGTCTTTCAGCTCAGGTCTCTCTTCACCACAACAGTCTGATACAGCGACCACATCACTGCAGACGCTGCACCGATCCACCTGTCAATCTCACGCTCCGTCCTCCCCTCACTCGAGAACAAGACCCCGAGATACTTAAACTCCTCCACTTGAGGCCGAGATTCTCCACAAGTTTTGTTTGAAGCTAGTCCCTACATTTTACCCAATGAATGAAACAAAACACAACTCCAGGTACAGTTTGTGATGAGGACACTATATTATTTATTTTACAGAAAAGGGCCTTGAGAATGATCATCAAGAGTCTTTATAGAGAACCAGCCAACACTTTATTTGTTCAACCTAAAGTGTTGAAAATGTTTGATATTGTTGACTTAAGTATTCTCAAAGTCATGTATAAAGCAAAGTGCAGAGCGTTACCTATAAATATTCAAGAACAGTTTGAAATGAGAATAAGCACTACAATTTAAAAGGAACAGACATGAAAAAGTTAAAAAAAAAAAAAAAAAACAGATTAAGAACCAAGGTTATGGAGTGAAGCATCGCTGTGAAAGGAGTTCATTTATGGAAAAGTCTTAACAAAGAAATCAAAATATCAAGTACATTGATGGCATTAAAAAAAACACACACATAAAATCCAGTGCAGTGTGTATGTATGAAAAAGAAAGTTGTTGCGCATAAAAGTGATGATCTCTGTTTGCATTTAATTAATAATAGTAATTGAAATGAAAAATATTGATGACATATAGTAAAGTAACTCTCATTGTTGATGTTTTGTCTGGAAAAGGGAAAAGGGGCATGTTGTGGCAGAAAATTATATATGTCTTGAAGATAAATAATGAATCCATTTGCGAAGCCCAATAAGTTTTTGGAATATAGACCAAAGTTTATTCTTGTTACAGCAAATATGGACAGTGCCTAGTCCTGCCCTGGCCACAGCCCAACAGCTTCTCTCCACCAGCAGCATGTCCCAACCCCATTCTTCCAGAGTCTCTCCCCAGTATCTGCCCCAGAGCATTTGAGCTCTGAATATTTATACAGAAATACAAGTTACATACATGGGTCCGAAAGGAAACTGTTTCTATAAAATATCTCAGTCCTTCCAAGCTAATTGTTTATCATTTTAAATACATTTTTTTTTAAAAATCATGTATCTTCATCAACAGTTCAAAGATCAAATAACACAAGATATGATGAAATACATACATTTATTTACATGATTTGCAGGTCTTTGAAATTTGGGAAATAATTGTTGTTCCATGTTTCATACATGGTCTGTTTAAAACATATGTAACTTTAGAACCAAAAATGGTACAGAAAAAAGGGAAACAGTTTCATAAACTAGAGTACATATGTATCTGTTGAATACATTTTTATATCAGATGCATTAACTTGAATTTTTGGCTTTGCTGTTTACTTCTGCTTGACCCATATATCAAAGCAGAGTGACTTTGGTTTCAGAGGCTGGTGCTAAATGAACATACAGTTGAGGACAACAGAGGACTTCCTGAAGGAGGAGACAGTTGTGTCTGATGAACCTTTTCACATGTTAATGACTGGTCTGGGTTTCATGTAGAAATCACATTCATTTACACAAAGACAGATTGAAAGAAATCTTTCCACAATCTAAATTTCTACCACAGGGCAGATACCATAACGCGACTCTTCTTTCTGCTTCTTTTCATTCATCTCTTGTGTGTTTAATGTTATGATACTGTTAATGTCTTTTTATACTTTATGAATGAAACAAACAAATACAAATACAAAAATAACAGATCAGAAACTAGTATAATATGAGCCCTTTGGGAAAAAAACGATACTTACTGGGAGAATGCATATTTTGAGACACTATGAACTGCACAATAACCAAGATGACCAAGACCAAAGAGAAACCCACTGCTCCATATTCCAAATGACAAAGACAATGAATAGACACTGCAGAATATTTTCAAATTATACAGTTTTAGGGTATAACCGAAAACCATGAAAGATTTACATTGACTTTTCTCTTATATTTGCTTAGAGCAGACAAACTCAGGCCCAGGGGCTAAACTTGCCTCACGATATAATTATATTTGGCCCGCGAGATCATATCAAATATGTATTAGAGCTGCCCACAGCCACAGATAGACTATAGAAACATTATTTATTTAAAATGTTGTTATTATTTTATATTTTGCTTGTTCTGGATTCAGTGTTAAAGCAAAACTATTATTAAACATTTATGTTGATAAGAAAAATTTAACATTACATATCTGGAAAGAAGAGAAAACATGCAGATGTTAAAATAAATAAATATTTAGTTTGGTTACGACTTATTCCCAGTTTTTAATTTTGGCCCTTTGTGAATTGGAGTTTGACACCACTGGCTTTGAATATTTTTATACACAAAAACTGTTACCCATGATTGAGAATATTGGTTATGAAACATTTTTTTTGCAGTACTTTTTTCCCCCATGTTATGTCTGAAAAGCCTGGTCACTATCTGTAAATGTCTCAAATATCAGTTATTTCTGTGTTTTAAATGCAGCTAGTCCCATTTTCAAAACAGTTGAGAATTTGTCACCTGATGCTCCGGTGATGATACATGATTCTGAGTTTTTATTTTCACTACTTTGTCCGTAAATAAATTCCTTATACGGAACTGGCTCCAAAGTCGCTCCTATAGGCGAGTTTCATTGTTGACAAATGATGACAATGATTCAAATAAATAAAATAAATTCAATGATGACAAATGCGCGCGTTGCATGCTGGGAATTATTTTGGTCGGCGGCAAGAAACACTAATTCAACATGACGGACGGAGTGAGAAAGCACGTAAAGAATATTGATCCCGGTTATTTATCCACTCTAACGGCAGAGGACCCAAGACGACTTGACCAGAAATTGGTCATAAGCATCGATGGACGACAAATCACCCTTTTCAACCCCGACAAAAGGTGGACCAAACCAAATTTCTGGTCTGAATCGCCAACTACCTGGTCAAATCTTCACTTCAGCGATATCCACAATGACTTGGTGGAAACTCCTGGGCCATTCACAGCAGAAAAGATGAAAACCTCTAAGGCTACGTTCAGACTGCAGGGCTTAATGCTCAATTCCGATTTTTTTGTGAAATCCGATGTTTTTGCGAGGTCGTTCACATTTCCAATTAAATGCGACTTGTCTGTGACTTCAGTGTGAACGGTAAACGGCCCGAAAGTGTCCTGCATGCGCACTGGAGGACACGATGACGTCAACCCCATGCGTCAACCGCAGTGAGCGTGCTCTGT